AAAAGCGTTCATGTTAATATCGTCTATTTGGTGTATAATAAAAAAACATATTTTTAACAGAGTCAGATAACGGTAAGATTGTACTAAAGCGAAGAAGGTCTCCTTAATTTTTAGATACTTACATAGAAGGCCTACTTTATTAGAAGGATCCTGTAAATTGCAACACTTTCAATTAGGATTTCCAACCATTATAAATAAAAAAACACTTCCGTTCCATTCCGGTTATTCGTTTAAAATTTTAAAAGGGTCGGTTATTAGAAATTTATAAAGGTTCGTTCCAGTCTATAAATTTATATTGGTCGGAAAGAACTTCTGGTTTTTGTAAGTTTTGATTTTTTAATTAATAAAATATATTTTTTAATCACCCATAATAATCTAATAAAAATAGTTTGTAAACTTTCAAAAATAAAACCCAAGCAAAAATAAAAGGAAATAAATTGAATTTCTTTATTTTAACATAACCCCATATATATAATATGATTTTCTAATTATTCTAAATTGTGCTAATCATTTATCTCCCCTTTTATGAATATGAGTTGGAAAATTATAGCGATTTTGGAGGATTTGGGGAACTCTGCTTTCATTTTAATTATATTTTTTTTAAACAAACATTTGATTTCAAAATGGTTGAATTGGAAAATATAAATAGTTGCTATAGTTGGACTGATCATTATTAGAGTAGTTCCCAGTTCTTTTTTAGCTTTGCTTGTTTCATCAACCGAACGATTTTGCAAGTTTCAAATGGAGCTCCCCAAATTAATTGATTACATTTAATAGACTATTCCATTAGGTAGGACATGGAACTGCAAACTGCTATTATACATTTTATGTATTATTGAAATGATTTGGGCTAGCTTAAACATTTCTATAAAGTATAATATTTTTATCGTTGTATGATGCAAACTGGTGAAAGAGGATGATTGATTGCTTTTTTTAATATTTGCCTTTGCTACCAGGCGTAAGGTATGACAAGAAGATTTTAAATGAAAAAGAAAGGAAAGACAAGTTGAATGAGATCCATAATCATTGGCACCTAGAGGGAAAAGATTTGTTTATATTTTAATAATTTTTTTTATTAATTAACTATCATTATCTTTTACATTATTAATGCATTCTAAAAAATCTTCATCGGAATCTGAAATCTAAAATATGGTTTATTAAATAAATTTTTTACAGATAATTTACAAATTCTAGAAGAGGAAACCAATAATAAAGCTACAAATAAATTTATTTAATAATTTTATATCTTAAATATTTAATTTTTTATTCATAATTTTTTTCACTTTTTTATTATAAAAAAACAAAAAAATGTAATTTAAATATTTAAAATACAAGAATTATACTCTAAAATCTGTATTTAGTAAGTGACTTTAAAATATTAATAAATTTCCGCTCAAAATATATATGTAACATTTGTTAAAAATATTTCTCTGTCCACTGCCTTTTCAAGGAAAAGCCTGGCTTAGGCAATATTCTTTAAAAAATCAAGTTTTTAGTTATATGGCTTAAAAAATTATCCAAAGGGGGCATAAAGATATTTATTTCTTAATATTTTTTTATTCTAACATTAATATTTAAAAGAAAGGCTTGTCTTGGTACGAGTCGCATATCACTTTTAAAAAATATTATTCCCTTGGAAATTTATCTGTTTTGATAAATCTCATTTTAAGTTAATAAACACCCCCCCCCCCCTGCATCACCTCTCCCCCAAAAATGTATAAAGTATGTCATTATAAAAATAAGCAAAGGTCAATATTTTTTTAAAATAATATATATAATTTCAACCCCGTCATTTGCCTCTAATAAGTGAGTGAGCCTAAAGCTATCCAATACAAGCGTGAAAAATCCTTTTGTAGTAGCCGACCCCCCCCCCCTTAACTTCTATTAGAGATTTGCAAATCACGGACAGGGCCTATTTAGGAAAAATAATTTCGGGATTGGTCTGGCCTAATATTTTTTAAAAAAATTTCAATCCGGTCGAGTCGGGATTAAATTTTTTAATTAAGTTTTCACTAAATTTTGTGGAATTATTTGATATATTTTTTAAATTCTTACAAGAAACAAGGCTTTTATTTATTTTTTATAATTAAAAAAAATATTAAACTTTTCTATATTTAAATAAATTCGGGCTTGGCGACAAATGATTTTTTTTTTATTTCTGGTCGGCTTCTTTTTGGGACAAAATATCTTTGTATATAGGGCCGGGTCGGACAAATTTTTTTCTATAAATTTTGGGCTTCAAAAATTAGGCCCGATCGAGATCACTATTGCCCATGCTCTAAAGTAAGAAAAATTATTTTTTCATAGAGAGTGCAATGAAGGTGTTTTTCTGGTGAGATGACTTTATCAGGCCATTCTGCCATTTAAATAAGACCACATATAATTGGCTATTCTAACTTTATAATAAAATAGTTTATTGCTTATTGGCGAAAGATTTTTTTAAAAGATTGGACACGCCATTACAACCATTACAGAGAATGTATTTTACAGGGAAACTTTTATATTGAAAACAAAAATTGAGATGCACTTATAGAGAAAACAATTATAGAGAATATCGTTTATAGAGAAAATTTTATAGAGAAGGTTTTATATAGAGAAAGACGTTTATAGAGCACTTTTAGAGAACAATTATAGAGAATGTCGTTTATAGAGAATAATTTTATAGAGAATGATTTTACTGAAAATGATTTTACAGAGAAGGATTTTATAGAAAATAATTTTACAGAAAATGATTTTATAGAGAATGTATTTTATAGAATTTTATAAAGAAAATGTTATATCTATATAATATATAACATTTTTGTATTTGTGTAACTATTACTTAGGCTCGCATAGTCAAAGAGAAAAGAGAAATTACAATATTTGAAATAATATTAAATATTAGAATTACCTTATAAAAGCGAATAATTGGGTTTTTATTGTAAGAATAATATTACAATTGGAACAGGATATTGTTTGATTATCTTTGTTGTACAAGGTTTTTCGATTATTAGATGAGTTAATGGTAGAAGAAAATTTTGACATGATTTGTGAGGAATTCGCGAAATTTATTTTTAGAAATAAGAATACAAATTAAAATAGAAAATAGATAGTTTTGTTAAAAGTTACTTTTTCAATGTAACTGTCATTAGTTAAGTTAGTTAAATTTGTGAAAATTAACTAGTTACAGTTACTAGTTATCTTTTTTTAAATATAACTGGTCACTAGGTACAATATTTTTCATAAGTAAGTAGCAATAGTTACTTCATAAAACATTAATATCATTCAAAAACTATGCTGGATTATTTAAGGGCTTTATCCCACAATATAAATTTAAAATTTAATCATATAATTGCATTTTTTATATTGGTATATGAATAAAAATTTATGATGATTATCTAGGTTTATCTTATAAAAACTTCATATACAAATGGTATTCTATTCTCTAATTTAGCATTCATAAAATATAAGAAAGAGCTCTGTATAAGATTTATTTCTTATTTATCATGACTTTAAGATTATCTAAAGTTTATGATAATAAATTACGGATATATGTTAACAAAAGTACCTACTCAATAATTATTTTTGAGAGCGTTAAAAATTATTTAACTAAATATAATAATATTATATGATAAAATCATATTCTCTATAGTTGTTTTCTCTGTAAAATCATTCTTTATATATGACATCTCTATAAATGGCATTATAATTGTTTTCTCTATAAAAATTTCTCTGCAAAATACATTCTCTATAAAATAATTCTTTATAAACGACATTTTCTATAATTGTTTTCTCTGTAAAAGTTTCTCTATAAACGACATTCTCTATAATTGTTTTCTCTGTAAAAGTTTCTCTATAATTGTTTCTCTGTAATGATTTCTCTGTTATAACGGGATACCGTATTCATCTATGTAAAATTTTTTTTTATACTAAATTTTTTATCATTAATTTATTTACATCCACAATAGAATTTTTTTTGCAATTATTAGTACACTAGAAAGCACTTAAACCGTCTTTAATTGAATTTGTTTTTTATGGGAGAAGGGGGGGGGGGGTGATAAATGAAGGTAGAAACTTAACAAGATAAGATGCTCCTTTTTTTAGTGGTGGGAGGGGGAAGGGTGATCTTTTTTAAATATATGCATTCGTCCTTAATTTCAATAAAAAAAATTCCAACCTCTTTCTTAAAACTATGTTTTAATAAATTATCTGGCTATAAAATCATTACATAAATGCATTTAACTAATTAAACTTAATCGGCCGAAAAATATTTATATAGCTGGCTAGCTTATAAATTATTAATGACATCTAATAATTATATATATATATTCTATTTAGGCAAAGTATTTTGTACGCCTAAAATCAAATTCACTTTTGGTTTTTATAGCACTCTTAAATGATAATAGCTTCATCGCCACTCCTTAAAAATAATTAAATAAATCCAAAAATAAAATAAAATAAACAATGTATTTATATGGCAAATCAAATTTTGATCAATTTCAAAGTTATAATATTATGTTGAGATTTATACTCAAAAAAAAAACAATCTAAAAAAATATAAAATATCATTCAGGCAAAAATTGTAATTTAATATTACATTTACATTAAATAAAATTATACTCTATATATACTATAAAAATATTGTCGCATTAATTTTGTTCCAAAATGATAATTAATTTTGAATATGTATTTATCGGTTAAATGAAAACTTTAAAATAAAAAAAATTAATCACCTATCTACCATATAAGGTATTAAAAAATAGATATAATAATTAGTATTGAATTAAATGCTGAGAATAAATTTATTTAATTGAATATAAATAGCTTATAAAAAACTAATAATACCTTCAGTGAAAGGACTTCATAGCCATATAATATCATCATTCATAATTATATTCAATACTAGTTTATATAAGAATTTTGAAAAACGACCTCAAAATATTTTTAAAAGATGGAGATTTATAGTAACACTAATGATAATATAAACTTAAATTTTAAGAATTAATGTGACTAAACAAGATTGGACACTCTAGGAAATGTTCAATACGAATGAATACCTCGTTAAAAAGGGGAAAAAATTGCCAGATTTGTCTCTTATCATCGACAAACAAAATTCCTTCGGTATCAGCCAACAGTATTTAAATCATCATGATGAATATAATTTACATCGTGATTTTGGGAATTATGATAATTTAATTACTTCTGCTGCTAACCACAACGGACATGCATGCAGAATGTTATACGATAAGATAGATGATACAAATAATTATTTCCAAAATTTCCCTAACGCTAATAGACCCTTAAATTCCTGTGATTATTACTATAATTTTAATTCACAACCAACTAATGATGTAAAATTAAGCAAAGATTGTTTGTATCACACACATATTAAATACCTCCCTAAAGACAGAGCTTATAACAGCATTGTCAAATCAGCTATTGATTATAGTAACTTATCACTCAGTAAATATAACGTAAAAATGATTTATTCGTTAGAAGAGGATAATAGTTCAACAAGGCATAAGAATGTATCCAAAAATAATCAAATTCATCGACCAAACAAACTTGACATCATCCCTCGGAATCTATCGATGACCAGAGATAGCGGTGTGCCATTATTCATACCGCACTATAAATTTTCAAAAGATTGTCAACCCGAATTATTGACATTGCACTTTTTATCATTGTTGAGACCATTTATTCATTCCACACTCATATTGAGTACTATCATATTTGCAACACCTCAAGATTTTGAAGACAATTTGGTTTTCGATTACGTGCAATCATTTAAACTAAAGCATAAAAACTATCACTTATCAATGGATTCAAACGCAGGGCGATTCGAGAATGGTAATTAATATGATGTATACTTTTAAAATAACAAAAAATAATGATTAAAATTAAAAATCAATAAAAGAGCTAGTAAATAAAATATCAAATGAAAAATATTTTTGAATTTAATAACCGAGCAGGATTTTTTTAAATCTATTTAATAATTTCGAATAGGTTAGGTTAGGCCAAAGGTACAAATCTCCTTGAACCATCACGTATCCAATAAGTATTTCTACCTGGATTCAATTTTTTTAAGATTTTAGGTTTGTAAAATATTATCAAATCAATGGGGATCATGGATTATTTTACATTTAACTCTAATAGATGTGTTCCTAAGCAATTATCTAAGTTTTTTGTCTTCTTATCCTTTATATTGCATTATTATTATTTTAAATATCTTATTGTATTTTTTTAAATATATTAAATTCTATTTTAATATAGTTTTTGTTCAAATGTTATTTTTAAATTTTTTTTAATAAAAAAATGATTCAATTTAAAAAATAAAATAAGGTCAACTTAAGAAGATGTAAATTACAAAATATTTTTTATTACAGTTTGTGGAAACTATTTTTGAGGACATAATTATATATAATTTAGTACATTTTAAATGATTAAAATGATGTTTTTCAAGAAAAAATGATAATATAATTCTTTTTAAGGTTACGGCTTTCATAAAATTTCCAACAAATGCCGAACCATTGTACCCTATATGATGAAAGAGGAAATATAATAGTTTTAGGCAATGAATATACTTCCAACTAGAGGTCTGCATTGGGTGGGTTTTTGGACAAAAAGCCCGCCCATCCAATGTTTAAAAAAATTTAACCCGCCCGCCCAGCCCGCCCATAGTTTTTAAAAAAATATATACACGCCTATCCCGCCCATTTATCTAAAATTCTTTACCCGCCCGCCCATTAGTCTAAAATTTTTTACTCGCCCGCCCCTTATTTATAAAAAAAATTCGCTTATAAAATTTAATTATGGTCATTCTTTCAATTTTTTAAGCATCTAATAAAAATATTTCAGCATTACACCTCTACAAAAAGTTTCTAATTTAGGAAATTAATTTAAGCACAAAATAAATATTCGATTTGAATTATGGACAATTTATTTGATCAAATAGAATATTTATGAAATGAATATATATATATATAATTGATATTATATGTAATTATAATGCAAAAATAATAATGAATCGACATTTTCTGGGTACAAACACTTCTTTGTTCTAAAAACCTTCCAGCAATGCTGAATCCTCGTTCAGAAGAAGCACTAGGTGCAGGAATTGCCAATATTTTTCTTGCTTATCGTGATGGCTTTAGCAAATCTCTTGTTGTTTCCACCAAAATAGGATATGCGTTTGAAGTATATCCTCTTCTTCAAGTGAGATCCGGATGTCCCGTATGCAATATATGTAAAACTCTTTTTTGAAGTGAGTAAAAAATGATTAATCTGCCATTCCAAAATAAAATACCGTGCTATTTTCATAATCGTTTTCATGCTATTCGGAATAGTAACAGAATAAAATACTATACAGTTTTATAAAACGGACCTCGAGTTAATATTAGAAACAGATGCATCTAACCAAGAATTTCGAGCTGTACTCATGCAAAAATATGATAATGGTAACAAATTTCCAATAGCTCACACCTCAAGAACTTTACAAGACGCTGAGAAGAATTATTCTACAATAGACAAAGAAGCAAAAGCAATATTAAACGGTGTAGAAAAATTTCATAACTATTTGTATGGACGAAAATTTAAAATTTGAACAGACCAAAAACTTTAATATAGATATATGGTAATAACAGAGATTTAAGCTCATTAACAAAACAAAGATTATTACGTTGGGCTTATAAATTATCTGCATATGATTATGATATAATGTACAAGAATGGTGCTAATAATATAATTGCAGATGCTTTATCGCGAAACCCAATAGAGAAAAAGGATGATAGAATAACAAGCGAAAATAAAACAGTGAAATAAAGAAATCTTACTTATGACACATTAACTCTACCAAGAAAAGAACTTAGAGAGGAAACCGCGAAAGATCAAATTTTAAGAAGAGTAAAAATATTAATAAATGGTACAAATATACAAAATCAAGCATCAGAATTACAAGCTTCTAGAATAAGAATAGATGAAATAGAAAATGATGACGATATTTTATTTTGGAATGGCATATTAATCATTCCGTACTCACTTTAAAAAAGATTTTTACATATATTGCATTGGGGACATTCGGGTATTACATCAATGAAATCCATTTGAGACATTATATATGGTGAGAACAATTAGATAAAGATGTCGAACTAGTTAAGCGTTCTTCACTTTAAAAAAAAGATTGGTACAATAAAAATTGTTCTTGATCATATAATTAATTATGATTTTTCTATAGTTTGATTTTGAACAAAAATTAACCCGCCCGCTCATTGTTTAAATTTCTTAACCCGCCCACCCGCCCGCCCATAGTTTCAAATTTTTTTTAACCCGCCTGCCCATTCTCGCAAATTTTTTACCCGCCCATCCACCCGCCCACTTAGATGCGGGCGGGCCGAAACCCCGCCCAATGCAGACCTCTAATACATATTGACTTTGATTAAAACTAAAAATAAGTTACAATATGCATATTTCTTTATATTTTAAGGGCTGTTTAATTTAAACACTAAATCCTATTAGTCTAAATTTACAAAAAATTAAAAAGTTATTATTTATGATATGATCCAATTACAAATACTCAAAATCAATTGATTTATAAAACGTGGAAATAGAGAGAACCATAGGTCTAATGGCATTGAATTAGACATAAATTTTCTGGCTGGAAAATTTGCCCAAAAAGATATAAACGTCCAAACCTGGTCGACCTAATTTTCGCAAAATTTTAACGATCGGAAATTAGTGAAAAAAATCGGCACCCTGGACGGACTTAACAAACATTTAAATAACGAGCCTGGCATACAAAAAATCTTAACGGGCTGAAATTTGCAGATCTCTGATGTATATACTTAACTTTGGTCAATGGATTAAATATATAAAAAATTAGCATCCCCCCCTCCTGCTTGAAGATTTTAAGAATGTATTTTCTTCTACTTTTTTTTACTTTGAGATTAAATATAACAAATAAAATTATATAATTATAGGTTTTTATCATTTTATACAAAAAAAGAATCTTATTTTACATATTTCTTTTAAAGATTATTATTGATTTCAAAACTCGACACTTTTTTAACCTTTTTTTAACAAAAATCAATTTCTTTCCTTTTCCCAATCGTCTTAAATAGTTTTATTTTAAAAACAAAATTGTGTGTAGTGTAAAGTATACACTAAATCTCGAAATACCAAAAAAATCGATATCTTAGCTGTTAAATACAAGTAGAATGTAAAATATTTTTAATATATATTTACACAATTATTTTTTTTACACGTGTTTATATATCATAACATTATATATTCTATAGTATAACAATATAAATTGAAATATATCTCCGTATATAATCTATTAACTATACTAGTCGTATTCTTATATATATATAAATATAATAATACACGAATTGAACAAACATTAATATATAATTTAGTTAATCGATTGCGTTCGGTTTATAAATGCATAAATTATAATAATTAGATCAGATATTCATATTATATATAATATCTCACCAGCACTAATAACATGGAAGGAAATATTTATTACTTTCTTGTGATATAAATAATAAAATTTACATTTCTTTTTATTCAGAGAAATTATCATCTTCTTTTTTTTATTTCACATTCTATAAAATTTTTATACTGAAAATTGTTAAGAAAAAGATTTTTTTATTATTAATAACGTTTAAAGATTCATTTTAGATTTCATTAATTATTAATATTAAATAAGTATTTATTATTGTTGTCTGCCTTCTTTTAACATTATAATACTTTTTAAAAATTTTTTAATATCATCCATTTCAGGGATCCGAATCTTAACGTATATTAGTTCAGATTCAGATAATAAAAGTTTTGAGCTTAGGCCAGTTCGTAAAATAATAATATTAGTTCTGTTTGAACCATGGACTCGGAGTGAACCAGGATGAACCGCTAAACCTTTATAAATATCTGAACGGTAACCGAACCGATGTAATTATTTTTTGAAGGAGTAAAAAGAACTTTTGTAAAAAAGTTAAACCGGTTTCTGCCAAAATAAAATAAATAATTTACCTTTTATTACATTCTTTTCCTTATGGTGTATTACATATTTTACCATATCTGCGTCCTTGTTTATGAATATTAAATGATCAAAATATTTGTTTAATATCTATAAGAAGTATGTATTAATCTTTCACTATGACTTAAATTGATCTACAATTTTTAAACCACTTCATATAGTGTTAGAGCATTCCTATTTCCTATATTTTAGTATGCAAAATATCTAAATAACCAATTTTTGATTTAGTTGTATTTAATTAATCTAAAAAATCATCAGTTTTTATATATTTGGAATCAAAGAAATTTTAATATCCAAAATTATATAAACTTGCTCTTGTAGTACTTGCGGTTCCCTCAACATAAGTTTCTGAAAAGGGCTTTTTTCGGGGTTAAAATTTGTGTTATCGCCATAACGAATAAATATGAATCCAGGTGTTGTTTCAATAAAAATAAATAAAATATTTATAATCGAATGAACCTTTATAAACCTTTACAATTAGCTGATCCAAACCGAAACTTTATAATTAAGATCCGCAACCATTATAATCTTTTACATACTGAACAATAACCAAACTGAACCATTTTAAATAAAGGTTCGGGTCCTTGGTTTGAACTTTGAAAACACATTATACTTGTTATAATTATTTATAGAAAAGCATATACACTTAAATCATTATACGAGAGTTTTAACTAATTAGAACCTCAAAAGGTAATGCACAATTATAATTTTTCGAACCTTAATAAATATTCTCTAAAGGATATAATCAAACCGTTATCAAAACCTTTGCCTATGTCTAAACCGATTTTTTAAACTATAGTAATATATTTTAATG